AAAAGAAACTTTATGGCATTTTCGCATGCTTGCTTGGACACCGACTGGGAAAAACTCTGTAATGGCGAGCAACCGTTGCTGTCGTTTTACAATAGTCTGATAGAAATTTTTAATGCTAAATTCCCCATTGTGCAGGTAAAATCTAGAGCCAAAAAACCTTGGATAACTAAGGGTCTAAAAGTTTCTGCAAGAAATATGAGATGTCTGCACACTCTCCGTAAATTTTCACTGAGCAATGCATTCTTTATGAATTATTTTAACAAATACCGACAGATTTACCGAAGGGTTATAAAACTTGCTAAGGATAAATATTATGCCGATAGGCTGGAGTCTGCTGGTAACAAACAGAGAGAAACATGGCGCATTGTTAACTCCATGCGAGGCAAAAACAAAGTGGATAATAATTACAACTCACAATTGGATGCCAACGCAATGAACTCTTTTTATTGCTCAATTGCCTCTCAGCTTGGCAGAAGCATTCCGTGTACCTCGGCTCACCAACTATCTCACCTGGATGTTAAGTCTGGAGATTCATTTTACTTCACACCTGTAGTTGCTGAGGAGATTTTAGATATTTTGAGAGAGAGTAAGAGTAGAGGTTCATCGGGCTGGGATGATATCTCAACAAGGGTTCTGGCAAATCTACCCATATCAGCTCTGTCAACATTAGCTTATTGTATTAATACCTCTATTTTGAGCGGCGATTTTCCAGATCTGTTGAAGCGAGCTATTGTGATTCCAATCTTTAAACAAGGGGAGGATGTTGCCTCCAATTACAGACCAATATCCCTGCTGCCTTCATTATCAAAAATTGTGGAAAAAGTGATTAAAAAAAGAATGGTTCACTTTTTGGAAGCAAAAAATATTTTAAATAAGTCCCAATTTGGTTTTCAGTCTTCCAAGAACACAAACGATGCGATCTTCCACATTCTGGAGAAACTCTACCTGGGACTAAATGATGGGGAAGTGGCTGCGGTAGTGTTCTGCGATCTAGCAAAAGCCTTTGACTGTGTGTCGCATGAAATACTGCTGCAGAAACTTGAATTCTATGGCTTTAGAGGATGTGTATTTAGTTGGCTAAGGTCTTATTTGTCCAATAGGTGTCAGATGGTTCGTTTTGCTGATTGTGTGTCAGGGGAATTGGGTGTCACAGCGGGTGTGCCTCAGGGCTCTGTACTTGGTCCGCTCTTATTTCTCATCTATGTTAACGACTTACCATTAATAATCAGAAACGGCCATTGTACATCCTTTGCCGATGACACTACTCTGCTTTGGCATAGCAAGGATCCACATGATCTTAGTGAAATGATAACCCAGGATCTGGCTAGTGTGAAAAGATGGTGTGACAGCAACTGTTTGTCTTTTAATGTATCAAAGACAAATATTTTAAATTTTAAGTGTATGTTAAATGATATTTGCTTAGACTCTCAGCCAGTCACGAAGACAAATTATAATAAATTTTTAGGCTTAGTTATCGACGATAGGTTAGGGTTTGACAAACACATTGAGCAGCTGTGCTCGAAACTAGCATCAGGCTGCTTTGCAATAAAAACAATTAGGAGTGACCTGAATGTTGCAGTGGCTAGAGATGCGTATTTTGCTTTAATTGAGTCACATCTAAGATATGGTGTATGCTATTGGGGTAATTCATCCGCTTATCTTTTGAATTCTTTGTTTGTTTTACAGAAGCGTGCCCTAGGGTGCCTGTGCGGGCTTAGTTTTAGGACGTCGTGTAAACCATATTTTATTAGTGAACGAATTTTGACTCTTCCAGCAATTATTATACTGGAAACTGTCTGTCTGATGCATAAGAAGCATTCCTCCATCATTCACTCCTTAAACACAAATAATACCCGCTCATCTTTTAATATAAATTTGCCAATTCCTAAATTGACACTGACTCAAAATTCGATTTTCTATAAAAGCAAAAAGATTTTTAATCACTTACCAATGTCAATTCGGAAGATAGTGTCATACAGATTATTTAGACAACAGGTAAAAATGTTGTTGCTTGAAAAGGCATATTATAGCATGGAGGAATACTTCCTTGACCATTTTTAGATTTTTACATTTACGTTTTTGTGTTTGTCTTGTGGTTTGAACTTGTTTGTAACATATTATTTTATTCTATTTTATATAGTATGCTTGTATAGTTTATATTCTTAGCACTAAGTTTGGCTTTGTCTACAACAATTGTTTTTTTGACAATAAAGCATATTTGATTTGATTTGATTTGATATGTCCCCTTGCTCTTCAGACGTCATAGTGCTAGACTCGTAAGGCGGACTTTAGCTTCCAATTTAAAATCTGACGTTTCGTCTTTTGGCCACCATCATCGACTACCGAAATTTTATTTGACATAGAAAGTTTTTGGATTACTTCTTTCCCTCAATCGTCAATTATTTGTAGAAAAGATAACAAATTGGGAGACAAATTCTCTTTAAGTAATTAAAGAGGAGAAAAGAAAACTAAAATATTTTAAGAATCAAAGAATGGTTCAATTCAAATTTTTTAACCCTCAACATTTCGAAAACAAACATTGTTTCTTTCAAGTGTCACATGGGAGATGTTTTTCTAAATACCGAGGTTGTGCAAAGTTCACATATCAATAAATTTTTGGGCCTACATATTGACGATAAATTGAAATTTGAAAGCCACGTTTTTCAGTTGAATAAAAAACTTTCGGGTGGGTGCTTTGCATTGAGGACAGTTTCTCGAGAGTTAGACATGTCTATGGCAAGAAATGTATATTTTGCGCTGATTGACTCTCATTTACGGTATGGAGTCTGTTTTTGGGGATCGTGTTCTGATCACCTGTTTAACTCAGTTTTTATTCTGCAGAAGCGAGCTATTAGGTTCTTATGTAAATTAAATATCCGAGAATCGTGCAGACCTTATTTTTTGTCGCTCGGAATATTAACACTGGCATGTATATTTATATTGGAATCAGTCTGCCTTACGCATGACAAGTTCCACAATGAGATCCTGACTGCTGGGGCTTATGCAACTCGGTCATCGCACATTGCTCCTCTACCTATCCCCTTAACAACGCTAGTAAAAAAATCTGTTATCTATAATAGTAAAAAGCTTTTTAACCACCTGCCTTCTAATGTCCGTGAGATATGCAACAAAGAGCAATTTAGGGGGAAGGTAAAGAGGATACTGGTTGGGAGGGCTTACTATTCGGTTGCTGAATTTTTCAGTGATACTTTTGCTTAGTGTCTTTTCGTTTACAGTTTAGTTTGTCTTATATTTTACTCACTGACTTATTACTTTATACATGTCTAGTATTTAAGTATGTTACCTTTAATGTCTTTTAATATGTTATTTTAATCTATGTAGTTTATTTTATAAGAGTATTTTAGCAGCACAGTCTTGTTTCATTTTATTTGATGATTTTTTTTTAATTTTAAGCGTGTATTTGCTACAACTTTTATTTTTAAGTTTGCTTTGATAAAGAGATGTTATAATTCTTATATCAATAAAGCTATTTTTGACTTTGACTTTGAATAAATAATAGAATACCAAACAGCCTTTTCAAGGAACAACGAACGAAATACACCATTTTTATATTAAGAAACACAAGTCGACGTTAACTTTTGCCAGCAACTCTGACTGTAGCTGGAATTCAGAGCTATTTTCGTGCGTCAACTTCACAGAATATATCGGGTCTTCAAAAAAAAAACCAATCAAAGATTGCTATGGTTTTTTAAACGTATGTCTTACTAAAATTTTTCTTTCATTTTGTCAATGAACCTAATGTCAAAATGGCATGTCAAAAATCGTGACCAATAAAGAAACAGTAATGCGACGTACGTTTTCGTAATCAAAGCAATCTTCGATTGGTTTTTTTTTTGAAGACCCGATATATCCTCACGGATAGAAGGCAAACTGCCTAATAAAATTTTGGGGAACAATGCGCCATCACGGCGCTGTGGATGCGATCCTAACTATCTATAATATAGGTTTCTGTAATCAAATAAACTGTCAAAATAGTTCACCCAATGTCAACTTTTTCAATATTAATTTTTCCCAATGATTTTTCCTCATTATAGTCGAATTCGATTCGATGGCTTCTACTTCCGAGTAGAGCAAAAACGGCCAAAACTTCTTGTGTTTGTATCCCGCGTGTGGCTAAATTCACCAAAATGTTGCATAGCCGCGGATGCGGTGATTACGATTCACTAATGCCAATGCCCAGTAGTTTGGCAAATCCTGTTCAACTTATCACTGCTTTTTCTACTTATTCCACCACATACCTACACCAGCTGAATTTAGCCACTCGCGGGTTTTGTGTAAGATCTGATTTTTTTTTTGAATTCAATAAACATTTTTCTGGATTTAAAATGCACACCAACACTAAGACAAATTCTCATTCAGAATTATTTTGACATATTTTTTTGACACATAGGTAACAGGTAAACAAGGTAAATTAAATCTCATTGGGTAAACTGCAAAAGTAAACAGTGACCTGTATATTTTCTGATGGCCTTCATTCCGCACCTGTAATTGTGTTTTACTCCAGCGTCCCCAAGCGGATGCGATCCGAAGCTTTTTTTTTAGGCCCCGCCCTCCATTAAGCTTTTTTTTCTATCCGTGAGGATATGTGTTCTGTGGTCAACTTTTTTGACATTGTTTCAAAACAGGTTTGAAACAGGCAATGGTGGTTGCATCATTGGTTTGCATTGACTTGAAAGTATTACAAAAAAAGTGGGAGGGGCTCGAGCCCCCCATGTGGTTACTTTTATAGGGTACACCGTGTATATAAAGTTAATTACTTCTATGAATACATAATTTTGAGCATTCCACACACTGGAACATTGTTCATAGTTAATTTGTTTTATTTTTGTATAGTTATAAGCTATATTATAAACTATTATTTTTATTTGGTTTGAGTGTTCCACTTGTTATACACGTAGAATGAGAAATGTTGAGAAAAATGTTTAATTCCAATAAATTACTCTGCCTCAGCACCATCCATAAATCATAAGGGTTCTTACCTTTGGCCCCATAGTGACAGCAACAGCATCCGCCAAAACATCGACTCCTTGGAGCATCAGGGCCCTAACTTCTGGTCCGAATCTCACATCTTTAGCGTACCATCTTTGGGCCTGGTTGATTTGGTGCACCTTTCGCAGGGCCAGCGATCTCATTGCGTTTGGTACTCTGTACATCTATAATTGAAAAAGAAACTTTTTTCAAGAAACTGATAGAAGTGACACTATTGTCTTTTTTGCTTGACAGTTTGGTTTGGGATAAATAATTGAATATTATCTTGACAGGGGAGGTGACTTGATTGTTCCGTTTTTTGTCTGTTCTCACAGAAATAAAGAACCACTCAGAACAAATTTTATTGGTTGAAAATAGTCAGAAAACTGTTTGTTGGTGATTTGCACCAATCAAACACGCTTGTGATTTTGGTGAGAACAGACCTTTCAGTGTTCAGTAAATGCAACTTTACTTTGTATTAAATAGAATTAAGTAATTGGTTAATCATAGCTTTTATGGGGATCTAGACATTTTCAAGCAGTTAATTGATAAATAATTATAACTTAACACCAGATAAATCTTGCCTTTGGGGCCTTGTCACCTTGTCATTTTTAAGGTTATGGGACATTTTTTTTTGTTGAACTTTTTTGTGTAAATTATTAAAGAAATAGTTTAATAAGCACATATTTAGCCTAATAACATCAAAATGTAAGATCTCATTCAAAATTTCTCATGTAATACATCGATTACGAAAGCACATGGTGCGGCCAGGCTAAACTTGTAACAAATTTTTGATTCGTTTATCGATAGTTTCTTAATTCTAACGAATTAATAATAAAGTTTTATCTCCTACCTTGCAGTGTTTGATGGAATATTTCAAATTTTAACACAAAATTGCAGGAAAGCACGCTTTTTTTGCCGGCCCGTCCTTTTTGGCAACCAGAATCTTTTCTAGAAGAATCTTATCAAATTCAATTTGAACTTTGGTCAACAGTGGGGGGGTGATGAGCTTCGCGCATTCAACTGACGTTATTCAAAAGAAATTAGATAAGATTTATTTCAAGCAAATAAAAAGACCTGAATAACGAATAATAAAAAAATGCAGATGGTTCAGAAGCCCTACAGACTACACTACAGACAGAATTGCATAAGTTTGAGATTCCACAAAACAGAAATAAAATTATACCTTGTACAGAATCTGTAAATAGACGAAATTCATAAAAATCGCACTAGATGTCGCCAGCGCAACAAAATATATATTTGACCGTGTGATTGTTTAGCGGGAAATTCAAACTCCGGCTTTTTAAACAAGAATTAAAACTTAATTTATTTAGAGACTATGGTCGTTTAATTGGCCTCATCTGCTGCTTTAAATAATGTTGCAAGGCTTGAACTTCTATAATTCCAATTAAAATCCGGCTATTTTTAAGCTACAAAACGTAATAATTCGGGTTTGCGCGTGTCTATTTCCAGTTTGTGGTGCAGTCTATTTTAAAGCCAGTAGTAGTTTTTTTTATAGCAATTGACTATATACCTATTTAAATTCAATTAAACTCATTTTTTCACTTGTCAGCCTTGACTATAGGCTGTTTTAATTAGTTAATAGTTGACCGATTAATCTAACAAATGAAAATTCTAACGAAAGAGTTATTGCAGCAGTAGTATTGATTCACTTCACTACGATACGATGCGGTGTCGGTGAAGGTTATGAAGCAGTCCATTTCAACTAAAAGCTATTAATAATTCTTTATTTAATTTAAAAACATCTTTTTAGTGACTTCTTTAAAGACTCACATTTTCATCAACAATTTTCTCGTTATTTTGTCAATAAATAAAACGAAAATTTAATGTCACTGCTAGTTAGTGGCCTAGACTTGTAATTAGAATATTGTACTTATAAACCATCAAATTAAAAGCACTACAAAGCAGGCGAATCGCAAAAGTGTACTTTAGCCTTTATCTAGTAGCGCATTTTGCTGTTTTATAAAATGTAATTAGTTGGAGGACTAAAAAAAAATTTATCAAATGCTCGAGTGCGGTAACCGGTTGAGGAGGCGCACAATTTCAAAATTTATTATGTAAATTCATTAAAAAAAAATATAATTAAATTAATCATGGGCTTGTGTTGTGATTTTTTAAAAATAAGTGTTTGTGAAAAGTTTACTTATGGTGTGGTAACTGGAACCGAAACGTTCTTTTATAAGTAAGAAATCAAATTTATATAACAAAAACGATTCCAGACAAAAGAGTTCTTATCTGAAATTGGAATTTAATTTAATTTGGTTACTCATCCATTTGTCTGGAATTTTTTAAACGATAAAAATGCATAATATTTATCATTAATTAATTATTGATAGTGTTCAAAAAATATTTTATAGCCATATTACATATATAATAATCTTTTCAATAAAATTTCACTTCTTTTTTTCCAGATTAGGTGTCGGCATAGCTAAAAAGCCCGTAAAAACCATAATTTTGTGTTGGTTGGTCGTATTTCTGAGTGCTTTTGGATTTCTAAGGTTTCGACAAGAAAAAAACCCTCTGAAACTATGGGTACCGCCAGATACCGCATTTGTCCGAGATTCAGAGTGGTTAATGGAAACCTTTCAAAATGGATTTTCAGATGAAGCTATAACGATAATCGACGATGACGTTTTGACTCCAAAGATCATCAATAAGGTAATAAGTACATACTTACATACCTACCGATAATTTTATATAGAAAAACCTTGCGTACTTATAACTTAAATTTTGAAATGATAACCGCGGTAATAAGTTTTTTATAATTTTGGGAAAACTTTCTGTATTTTATGCAAAATTTCAACACCCTGTATATTAAAAGTGTAGCTGAATAACATAGGTTCAAGTGATTTTTTTTCTTATTTGAAAGTACTTATATACCTAACTATCAAAGTTTACAGAAGGTAGGTAGAATATCTGAAGAAATTTCTTTAGTACCTACCTAGGTACCATCGTCACCAAAAGTAACTGGGACAGCATCATATTAGCTCTTGTCCTATTATATGAATTTTATTGTCAAATATTTGTCAAACTATGAATTAAATGCTCCTCATTGAAATGAATGACAGTAGAATTAGTCCAGGAGATTATTGTGCATTATTTGTGTCCCAGATACTTTTGGTGACGATGGTACATGTTTAGCTGCAATAAGACCCTACTATACCCTGGCTATAAAAGTTTGTAAATTTGCAACCTTTTCAGCTTTTGTTGTGTCGTCACTGTGAGAATTTCAGTACCTGAATTACAACGGAGTTCAGGCAGATCATTTGTGACAGTTGATTCAAACAATACAAATAATAGTTACGGAGAATGGTTACGGACGATATAGTTATTCCATCAGGATTCAAAATTTTTATCACTAACAACTCATCTAAATCAAAATTTCAAAACTATATGTATAACATAGAGATTAAAATAAATTTTTATTCTTCCGCGCGTTTAGTCGTTTTTTCCCAGTATTATCAATACCTAGTTCACTTCCAAAAATGTTGATCCCCAGATAAAAATACTGTCACTGAATAGAGTCGTTATTTTTTGAAGTCGACGCGTCAAGACTAACTTACCCAGATAGTGCACAGACATTTTAAAGACGTCTTCTGGACTAATAATTCATTATTTATTACTCATTTTATAACTTTCAATTTTTGTCTATTCCAAACGCTAGGCTCTCAAATGCTTGATTTCTTTTAAACGAAAACATACACAAAATTCATTTTCAAAGAAAAACATTAAAAAGAGCCAGAAGTAAAAATTAAAAAGCAAATCAAGAGCCTGAAATTCTAATATACGGGAAATAATGAGAATTCATGATCTTGGAATGAAAAAATTCAAGAGCCAAAAGAAAATTAAGAATCTAGAATAAACAAATAGGAAAAAACCCTGGAGCCTGGAATAGGAAAAATTATGAAAATTGAAGAATTTGAATTGAAAGAGAAACATTTCCTTGCTATTTCCTTATTATTCCTCATTTTATAATTTTCAATTTTTGTCTATTCTAGGCGCTAGGCTGTCGGAAATAATTCTAAGGTTTTCAAATAATTGTTCTGAAGCCTTTCAAAACGCTGCTGGAAAGTGTTTTGGAACGTTCTAAATGACTCATTAAAAGTTCTGAGGGGTTCTAACTTGGCTTCACGTGTTCTGGAGCATTTTAGATAAGTTGTTCTGAAAGATTTTTAAGTATTTTGAGCCGTATATTGAAGCTCCAAATTGTTCTAAATTGGTTCAAAAGAGTTCTAAAAGGTTTCCAGTTCTAAATTGAATCCTAATTGTTCTAAAACCCGTTCTAAAATAAATCTAATGTTTTTGAATTGTTCCAAAATGCTCCTGGAAATTCTAATTTGGAGGTTTAATGTTCTTTTTTCAAAATGTTTCTGGAGATTCTAGAGTGTTTGAGTTTTTTTAAGCAGCCTAAAATGGGTTTCAAACTTCTAAATTGTTCTGAAATGTTTTTGGAAACTGTAAATCCGTTTTTGAATATTTTTAAGCATTCTAAAATGGTTTTGAAGTTTCCGAATTCATGTGAGAAGTTTTTGTAGACATCTTGAAAACGTTCCTAAGATGTCCACAAACCACATTCGAGTCGTTTTTTAGACGTATGCTTGAAGACATCTTAAAAGACGTCATACTTATGTTACAAATAAGCCCAACGTCTTTCAAATGCCTGCTTAAAAACGTTTTTCTGACATTTTTCCAAGTCAGAAGTATTCAGAATACTCTAAATTTTGAACTGGCGTTTTGTTGAGCAAGAAATTACGCAATTTTGCCCCAATTTGACTGAACCTGTATCTCTTACCGTTTCCTATATCCCAATGGTTGCCCTCAAAAAACGGACACCCTGTATATAAAAATGTGATTTTTTTAATTAAGTTTAACAACGCAATAAGTTTAACAACAGAACATTACCAATTATTTTTATCATAAGTATAATTAATTATTTATGGTAAAAAACTCATTAAAGATTTCGATATTGGTCAATACAAAAAGCTTATAGGGTTCTGCTTGGAGAGAAAAAACGTTGAAGAAATTTCCAAAAAATCTAAAAGAGAAGCATGACAAAAAAATTGGAAAAAAACAAAACTTTTTTCACGCCCGCTGTGCGGAAAAGTGGTACTTTCCGCACGCGAATCGGTGCGTGAAAATGCGTTTTCCGCACACTCGTAGGAAAAATACATTGCCTATAGGTCAGAAACTGAACTCTGTAACGGATAGAAATCGTTATCCCTATCGCTATGGCACTTGCTGTCTTCTTCTTTCTTGTCGAAATCAATAGAGAGGATACGTCAATAGAGATAGAGAAAATATTCGTTACAGAGTCCCAACCCAGCTACTCGTTCTCAGAAGTTCTAACTACTTGGGCTAACTTGGGGGGCTCTTTTAGATTCAAATAAATACTTTACAATTTCGGACGGTATTTTGTTCTCAACAGCTGAACAAAACAATCTAATATATGAAATTCTATGTCACAGTTTTAGTTACCTTCTTCCTCCGAAACGGCTTTACCGATTTTTATGAAATTTTATATGTATATTCGGTAGGGCTGAGAATAGGTCTTAAGCTATTATATTCTAATATATAAAATTCTCATGTCACAGTTTTAGTTACCTTCCTCCTCCGAAACGGCTTTACCGATTTTTATGAAATTTTATATGTATATTCGGTAGGTCTGAGAATAGGCCTTAAGCTATTTTTTATACCCCTAAGTGATAAAGGTGGTCCACCACAAAAATTTTAAAATTTTTGTTTGCGCATTCAACCGACGTAACAGTGTTATCTTATCCATCATAAGAAATTGAAAACAACGTATTTGATGACTATTATGAGGTACATCAAATACGTTGTTTTTTTTATGATGGATGTCCATTTAAATCCTATATATCCATATTTAAAAGTAGCAAGAGGTAGGACACTTTAATGGCTGCAGGAGCTCTATTGTCGCCACTGTAGATAAGGCTTATTTAGTCACTGTTGTAATACCATTGCACTGTAATACCATTCCGTATATGACGTCATCTATGATACATGATAGAAACCTTCATTTAGTTTTCGATCCCGAAAAGGGTGAGTACAAATTTGTGAATATTCTGATAGGTTATGTTTATGTTATTTTATTAGGCAATCCAAATCACGTGATTCAATATGGCAGTGCAGACCGACATTATTTTGTTTACATTTGATCCTGTGTTAATTGTGTGAATTAATATGAATGTTTGAATTAGTGCGGTTATGGACGATTCAGATGATTTTTTTTGTTTTCTTTACATTCTTTGAACATTCCTGTGCCTGATGAGTTTATTTATTTGGAGTTACACTTTACAAGAATAATGCCCACAAGGTGCCTAATAAAAAAGGGATGATGTAAAATTTTAATTTTAGGTGATTTCTGATCCAGAGAGTAAACATTAATTTTCTTCAACCAAGGCCAAATTCACCATCGAAAAAAACTGAATTTAATTCAGTATACGTTAACACAACATTTACAAGGTATTTAATAATTCAGAGGCGGTACGAAGTCCGCCGGGTCAGCTAGCAATATTAATAATATTGTATTTGTATCAAACAAAAAGTCTCTTGACAAAAGAATGCTGAGTTCTACGAAGAGCATAACATAGTTTTGGTATTTTTCTAGACGTTCGGTAATCACAACTGATTTTGCTCGCTTAAGTTATCTACTACGAATCCGCATACGCGTAACAATTTTTTGATGTAACTCAGGGGCGGATGGGCCCACCGGAAAGCCGGGAGATTTCCCGGTGCGCCGGTTCCTCAGGCGTCAATTGGCGCCGCTGCGGAATGTTCAAAAATTATTGAAAAAGCAAAAAGCCAAATAGCTAATTTATTAATTGATTTGGCATTGGCAACTTTACAACTCTGCGGCGCCCATACCATTCATATTGTTCCATGGTATGTTGCATTGCTTGCTATGTTCCGTTTTGAGGTATCTTCGCGTCCGTCTAGCTATTTTTAATATCCCAGATTGCATTTATAATGGAGTAGAAAAAGACAACACACAAGATAGTTCGTCTCTGTACACTAGGTCTGTTCTCACAGAAATCACAAATCAGTTAGAGCGAATTTCATTGGTTAAAAATAGTCAGAAAACTGGTTGTTGGCGATTTGCACTAATCAAAAATGCTGTGACTGGTTTGTGATTTCTGTGAGAACAGACCTTCGAGCGGCGCAGCTACGATTATCGGCAAATAGAGTAATTTCGTCGTCTTGTCTTTATTCCACTCAAGAAAGGTATGCGCAGAAGTCGATCGCTTGTGCTTTTCAATTATTGTTGTAGCTGGACAGGCGTGGCGCCGTTTCAATCGGCTTCACGCGCCGGTCTGAGGGGCCCCATCCGTCCCTGATGTAACTTTTTGTATTATCTTTAGTTCAGCAGTGTGTCGTGTCTGTATTGTCTAAAATTGCAAGTTCAGACATTATACAGGACGTCTCAACTCAATAGAAAATGACCTATTTTACCTGCTTTTGAAATTTATAGGTACCAAGTGTGTTAACAACCGGCGCCGGCGGTTTGCGCTATTGTAACTTATCAGTTATATTTTCAGTTAGTCGCAAATATACTTACATACTTTTACAGGTCAAATTGAATAAATTAATTCAAAACGAAATTGCACAAAAACTTTGAACAAGAAAAATATTCCAACATACCA